AATAAACTATTTGTACTGAAATTTTATATAGTGAATCAAATATTTTGATTATCTATATATTTTCCATTATAGTATATGAAAACAACTACTACTCTGTTTTTTTAATGAGGGTAAACACTGAAACAATACATCAAAAGATCTGTAGTGCGATATATACGAAAAAAGGAAGCGTTGTCCGTAAGATATTGCCATATTGGTAATGCAATGCATATGTATATAAACATACATATATGGGCGAATTGCACGTATGATGTATGCACGTAAATCAAAACAGTGCATCGAACAGTTTAATTAAACTTAAACCAACATGCTGTGAGAGTACTAAAATATGTGTAAATCGGTGCATTAATGTTAGCTCTCGAGGTTTCTAGGAAATGAGACCACACCACTGCCCAAGTCTTGGAATATGGTAAATGTGAGCAATTCCCTAAGTCTTTTCAGTCTTCACTTCTCACTTTATGATCTCTCAATCAACGAGAATGGAACACGCCTTCAATTTTCGATTCTCTATATCTATGCATCAAATTAACCAAAAAATAGTGTATATTCCAAGAAATGTTCAGCAACCGCGTACCATTATCCATATGTGAGTTATTTCACTTTGATGAAAGTTACAGTAGTACATACTCTTTTTGTCACATTTTATTAGATGTTTGGACTAAAAACACAGAGATAAAAAACAATAAATATTTTTCATTTATGAAAATTCAACCAATGGAAGAAGATACTGTATAATTAAAATAATTTAAAACTATTAAACTAATATAAATCATGCATTAAAATTAGAAAAAAATCTTATATAATATAACAAATGAAAAGGTCTAAAACATTTTATATATTGGGACAGAGGGAGTATAATGTTAGTAAATTTTTTTTCTTTATAATATATATATATATATATATATATATGTCACTATACCAATTTTGTATGTAAGTCCAATTTTTCATACAAATATGATTCAATTTTTAATAATTGCTAAGAAAGACTATAAACTTTTTATTTTTTTTATTATTGATCAGTATTAATTATTAAATTATTATACCATTCACATTTAAAAGACATTAATTATATTTTTTACTATAATACTCTATCATTAAAAGACTACAAAACATAAACATGATATTCTCAGGATCCCGTACGTTAGATTTTATGAATCAGTCTAACATGTCAAATTATATACATCTACATATTACGAGATAGTTATAAGGATATGTGACTTTAAAAAAAAAAAAAAAAAAGGATATGTGACTTTTTGTGTTAAATAATTAAATGTGCTTTTTCAATTTGCTGACTAGCCAAATATTTTTATTTTTTTTAACGGTGTTGAGTTTCGATATATTTTTTGGTAAACGAGTTATGATATATTCTACAGAAATGGTCGGTGAAACTAAAAGGTAAAAACCTCCGAATATTCTCGAGAACTTCTATTCAGTTGTTCTTTGATTATCCTAATCCGATTATATATGGAATTAAAGTTAAATACACTAACTTCTCTGCCAAAGGAAGGGCATGTTGGTTCTCCTCTACCTCTAGATTGGTGCACATTTTTCTCCGATCATACGTAAGTGAAAATAATTATTGGTATAGTTTAGAATAATGTTAACGTAAAATATTTTTTTCTTCAATATGCATATGAGGTAAGAGTTATTTTTTTTGTTTTAACGTTCTAAACAATAAAGTTGCTAGTTTTGTAAATTTATAGTGTGATAGGTTTATTGATATAAAAAACATTTAATTAGCTTCTCATTAGAAATCGAAGTTGAATCGCAAATGGGAGTTTTGAACAATCACATCGTGTTTTCAATTCGGAAAACTACTCTTTCAATATAAAACGTTATTAGTAATTATCTATCCGTTTGTATAAATGTACAAACGATATGGAAGGAGTAAGAAAAATGAAAATGAAAATGAAAAATAAAAATAAAATTAAAATGTACTAATAATTTAATCAAGTGGTGGTTGTCCAGTGGTTTCCACTTGTCAGAGGAGCGACTCTGTTGGTCCAGGCCAGAGATCGACTCCCTGCAAGCGCGACACTTCTGGATTTTACCCCATTTGGCCACTGCCACGCCCTTAGCGATGGGATGACGTGAAACAGGTATGTAAGGCCACCAGGACCACACTTGAGGGCAATGCCCAATACGGTGCTAGTCGGGACCACCAGTGGTGGGGCCCGGATAACCTGGTTAAAAAAAAAAAACTTTATCAAAAAAAAAATATATGTTCCAGCGTTCATGTTTGTTGCTTATTCCAATAAGTTTGTACATTTAATTTGGATATATGCAACATCCCAATGAATGTCTTAACAACCAAATTATATACTATAAATATAGATAGGTTCATTGGATCTTTTTTTTTTTTTGTCACGGGGTTCATTGGATCTTGATAACAATTTACCTTCACCACCAAGAGGAAAAATACAAATGTTTACAAGTATAAATCTATTAATTTTTTTAAGATTCTCTTCGTACGAATGTTGCTATGAAGGTCTAATAAACGGATGTAACTGCTTGTATTATTCAGTTTATAATATTCAAATGATATCCATATATATAGAAAGTATATTTTTTTTCCCCTTATAATATGTGTAACAAAATAGAAATTCTTTGGCATTATTTAACTATCATGCACAATTCACAACATTATTACCTAAAATTCGAGTAGGCAGAGTTATGCAACTCATTTTTTTTTGGTTAACCATTATGAAACTCAAGTTGTTAGTGGATTTTTAGACGCAAGTAATCGATCATGTGAGTTGACCAAAAAACATGTTGAAACGCTCTTTAATTTTGTTATTTAAAATATTAATTAGAATTCGTATCGAGAAAATATTAATCACTAATTCTAAAAGAAAAAGTTTAAACTTTTCTAGGTCCAATCTCTTAATTAAACTAAAGTTTATTTGAAGTTCATAACAGCAAGGATCGTATGCATGCATTTCTCCATATTTCCCTAATAGTCTTTTTTTTTTTTTTTTTTCCTCGTATGTAGTCTTTCTAGAGTAGTCTGTCGACCAGATGAGTTCAACATTTTTGATTTGATTAATTGGATTTAAAATGAATTAGATTTTTGGGACGCCAAAACTAACCAATTCTATAAAATAAACATGCTTTTTTTTTTTTTTTGAAATGCATTTTTTCAAAAAGTTTCTTCGTAATAAGGATTTAAGAGGTGCATTTTATTTTTCTAAATGAAGTTAAAAATCATACGAAACTAATTATTTCAGTTTGATTCAAATACTGTCTACACCAAAAATAAATTGAAACGAAAAAATACGTTTAAAATTATCATCAAGTTGTTACTATTCTTATTATCAAGAAGAATACATACAAAAATATGTATATTTATTTCTCAATTCTCATGAACCCAAGATATCTTGATGTGGCGATATCTGTTGACCCATACGTCAACCAAACGTCAACCAAAACCCACAAATTATTAGTACATTTTAATTTTATTTTTCATTTTTCATTTTCATTTTCATTTTTCTTACTCCTTTCATATTAGAAATATTGATTTTCTAAGATTTTCACTAAAATTAAGAAATCAATAAATAATGTATATTTATTAATTACTTTTATGTTATATCTTTTAAAAAAATGATTTCAAGCTACTTTTTATCCCACTTACTCCAATCAACTGATCTTGAAAAAAAAAGACATTAAATATACTACAGAAAATTAATCTTTTTGATATAAGAATAAAACCTCAAACATCATTCTTTTTGATACGGAAGAAATATATATTTATGGAAAAATTAATTAGTCTGTGGATTGGGGAAGTCTGTGTGATGTGTAGTGTAGAGTGTAGACACCTGATGGATGTTTAACCACGTTACCTCAAATTCCACAACCATGTATACATTTATTAAATTGTCTAAGAAAATAATTCCTATTAGCTTATTAAATAGTACTCCCCTTTGCAATTCTATGTTTTTTTTTTCATCTGAACTCTTTTGTCTGTACAATTTTCTCCATTAACTCTTTATATGTTATAATCGTCGCAACGTGTGAATAAACTATATAAAGTTTTCAAGTCAAATTTGTATAACAGTTAAATAATTTATATGCCTACAAATGAAGTGAGTTATAACCCGTGTTAAAAAAATCGCTAGGCGCTAGTCGGGCGGTGAGGGTGCGCCTAGCGCCTAGCAAAAAAATCGGGGATTACACGGGGATTAATCGGGGATTAGTTTTAGGGCTATTTAATATTTTAAAAACATATTAATCCATTATAATTAAGTAATTTATATAATATTGTTTTTAAAATTGTATTAAACACATGAAAACAAGATTTTAATTTCAAATTTATGATTTTTATACAAATTACGAACATAAGTAGGACGTTTTGAATTTTAGATGAAAAAAAAAGTAAAAAAAAAAAAAAAAATTGGGCTAGGCGCCGTCTAGGCGGTCTAGGCGGCCGTCTAGGCGGTCCAGGCGGACAAAAAATCAAAAAATCTCCGATTTTTCTCATCGATTTGGCCAAAATCGCCGCGGTGCTCCTCCGATCAGCGCCTAGGCGGCTAGGCGGCCGATTTTTAGAACAAGGGTTATAACTATAGTTTTCTCTAAAACTGGACCAAAGAGGAGCAAAACAGAAACTCCCAAGTCCCAATGGACCTTTCATGTTTATGTGTATATACATGATCGTGTAGCAAAATGCGTTGTCATGTCTCTTCAGTGTAATCGATCAATATAAGCAACATATAAGTATCACTTTTTTTTAACCTAAATGATTCCCACGTTGGCTGCAACCTGACATCATATTTAACTATCTTGCTTTCTTTCTCTTCTCAAGTGTATATCCAAAGTCATGTATTTTCTCTCTCAATACGCTTTAAATTCCTATTTTATCTGGTTTATACCTGAACTATTGATATATGCCTAAAAATAAGATTTTGGAAACTAAAAGGAGATAGAAACTAGTCTTCTTAATTCGGTCTGAACCGACCACAATTTTGATTTTTGGGTTTAACCGACCACAAATCTCTCTTAATGATTTAAAACATTTTGGTAGTTCTTTTACTAATTAATAGAGTCAATCTTCATCTTGTATACGTCGTTGATATTTGCCATGCAAAGAAAAGGAGATGCAAAATATTGAACCACTTTTCTTGTGACTAATTATTGTATTTGTTGGACGAGGATTAATTTATTACCAATAAGTAAGGACCATATGAAAAAATAAAAAATAAACAAAAATAATGGTGGCTGCAAACTTATCATTCGAGATATAAATAACATTCATAAGCAATATTATTATATTTACTAATTTTACAAATACCAATTTGCTTCAAGTCTTCTTCTCTATTTATACATCTTCTTCTCCAATCCAACAAAACACACACATACACTTACATCTCCATCCTCTTGTCCTAAAAAGCTTCCCAAATCTTTTTTTTTTCTTCTTCTACAATCTCAAAATTTCTTCTGTTTTCTCCTCACAACCAGACAAGCAAACTCTAAACTCTGTGGAAGATGTATGGAAATAATAACAAGAAGTCTATCAACATCTCGAGTATGTTTCAAAACCTCATCCCCGACGGCAGCGACATTTTCTCCCGGCGTTGCATCTGGGTCAACGGACCGGTCATCGTTGGAGCTGGCCCATCAGGTCTAGCCGTTGCTGCGGGATTGAAACGTGAAGGAGTACCGTTCATAATCCTCGAGCGAGCTAACTGCATTGCTTCATTATGGCAAAACAGAACCTACGATCGTCTCAAACTCCATCTCCCTAAACAGTTTTGCCAATTACCCAATTATCCTTTCCCGGACGAGTTCCCTGAGTACCCTACCAAGTTTCAGTTTATTCAGTACCTTGAGTCCTACGCAGCCAACTTTGACATCAACCCTAAGTTCAACGAGACAGTCCAGTCCGCAAAATACGACGAGACGTTCGGGCTGTGGCGGGTTAAGACCATTTCGAAGATGGGTCAGCTCGGTTCTTGCGAGTTTGAGTATATCTGCAGGTGGATTGTGGTGGCCACGGGAGAGAATGCTGAGAAAGTTGTGCCGGATTTTGAAGGTCTAGAGGATTTTGGCGGCGATGTTCTCCATGCTGGTGACTATAAATCTGGTGGAAGGTACCAAGGGAAAAAGGTTTTGGTGGTGGGATGTGGAAACTCCGGTATGGAAGTCTCTCTCGATCTCTACAATCACGGAGCAAACCCATCAATGGTCGTTCGTAGCGCTGTAAGTACCAAAAGTTTGAGTCTTTATATCCTCCAAAAACAGAGCATTCTCTGTTTCTTTTACTCTGTTTTAAAAAACAGAGCAGTCCCTGATACTCTGTTTTTTTTGTGTCCTTTCTTTTTTTTTTATCAGGTGCATGTTTTACCAAGAGAGATTTTTGGGAAATCAACGTTTGAATTAGGAGTTACGATGATGAAGTATATGCCAGTTTGGCTCGCGGACAAGACCATACTCTTTCTAGCGAGGATGATTTTAGGGAATACCGATAAATACGGTCTAAAAAGGCCGAAAATTGGACCGTTAGAGCTAAAGAACAAGGAAGGGAAAACTCCAGTACTTGACATCGGAGCGTTACCCAAAATCAGATCGGGAAAGATCAAAATCGTCCCCGGAATCATAAAGTTCGGTGAAGGAAAAGTTGAACTAGTGGATGGCCGTGTTCTTGAGATTGATTCCGTTATTCTAGCTACCGGATACAGAAGCAACGTCCCTTCATGGCTTAAGGTAATAAATAATTTAAAGAAAACATCTTTCCTTCATTGTTTCTTCTAAAGATTTAGCTTAAATTGTAGACATTTAATGATGTCGGAAGACAAAACACAAATACCCACCCGACCCGGTCCTCGTTTAGTGAAGACCCGACTCAAATTGTGTTTCGAATGTGAGCAATAAATGCAAATAAAACAATTAACATTTATATTTTTCATCGAAAAGGATACGAAATGGTGGTACGAGTTTTTTAGTTAGAAATAGAAATCCGGTAATGACAGTTAGGACTAAGAAAGAAGTTGGTTTAATAAATTCGTGTTGGATTTTAATTAAAATTATTTTACAGGACAATGACTTCTTCTCCGATGATGGGATACCGAAAAACCCGTTTCCAAACGGATGGAAAGGAGAGGCGGGATTGTATGCGGTAGGGTTCACGAGAAAAGGATTGTTTGGTGCGTCGCTTGATGCTATGAGTGTGGCTCATGATATTGCTAATAGGTGGAAAGAAGAGTCTAAGCAACAGAAGAAAACTGCTGCTGCTCGTCATCGTCGATGTATTTCACATTTCTAACTATCAAAATCAAATTTAGGGGGAAAATATATATTTAAAAAAAGATAATTAAGCCCTCTCCTCAGAAGAAAAATACCCCAAAAAATAAGAGAATTGTGAAAAGAAAATAAAATTAGGGGGATTTTTCTTTGTTTTTTAGGAAGATGTGGCTTTTTTATGTAATTTTTATTGTAAGAGTGCTTTTTTTTGTTCTTGTATTTTTTTTTCTATCTTCATTTTAGATTTTGAACTCTTGTAAGAAGTTTTGCTTAATCTAATATGACAAATATTTTACGATTCTTGGTAATTCTCACGAAGCATGTTGTGTTAGCTCTATGATTTTTGTTGTTGTTGCTGTTGATTAGGAAAAGAAACAACTAATTTCATGCTGTTTCATTATTGGTAGAATACTCTCGCAAGTTAGAGCTGTTATTTAACTGATTAAGGAATTATTAGCCATTTTGTAATCATTAAATCAGGCAAATGATTGATTGATTACACATGATTGTCCAAGACAATCCGTATAAAAGATTGGGAACACAAGTTGAATACTGAAACATGCATTCCTGTATGATATGCAAAATCCATTAGGGATGACCAGTTTATCTATTTTTGGAACACAGATGGATAATAAATAGTATATCGTAACATTTAAAACATTCTCAGAAAAAACTTGAGTGAAATCATATAGTATTATATATGATGTTTGATCTAATTATAAATATATATTTTGAAACAGATACAGATCCAAATTATGCAATACATATATGTCAAATTGGATTTCAAAATTCAAGGTACCAGAGAGTAGCTTTATTTCACTAAATATATTATTAGAAAAAAACGTTTACATACTCTGTATATGGACAAGCCTCTGTTGAAAAAATTCAACTATGGTGCAAAAGATCAGAGACATTTATGGGTTTCACTTGAGATTCTGAGAGTCTCTGCAGCAAAGTCATTGAACCAGCAGAACAGAGAATTGACAAACAAAAGGACAAATTAGAAGAGAGTAAAATTTGAAGTTTCCAATTTGTAAAATATGGTGATGAGTGAGTGAGTGGGTGATGAGTGAGTGAGTGAGTGATAAGCTTAACCATGGTTCCTTCTTCTCTGTCCAAACAAAAAAAAAAACATTAAAAGCTAATTCCCCCCAACTGTGTAAATGTCTGGTTCCCATCCTCTTAAAACAGTTATTCATGTTCTCATGCAAAACCCTGCAACCTTTTACTCAGACATTACCTTAACCTAAAGATATGGAGGAAGGAAACCACATGGCGTGATTTCGATTCAGCCGCCCATTTAGACTGTTTCTTATTCTCTGTTCTCTGTCAAAAACACCAAACCAACCCATCTTTTCTTGCCGGTGTCTTACCAAATTCACGAGGGAAATAGTTTTGGATATTACTATCATACTACAAGTTGAGAAAGAGTAGGACCAATGTACATTTACTCACTTGTAGGATGAAATATACATTTGCAAACTTACATGAGAAAGGCCTAAAATGTTCATTTCCTGGAAAGCATTTTATCTATATGGCCGTTTTTGTTGTACATTTCCACTATCTTTTTGGCATATGATGGCATGTGGATGTTGGCTCTGCAGATGGTAATGCCGCTTTGGTCATTAGAGGGTGATCCAATAATATAGGAATACAAAGTTGATAGAAACTTTTATCTCTAGGAGTGTGTTTCAGATTTTACCTTTGCTTTCCCCATTTGCGGTTTACATGCAAATAGTTTCTGATGGTATGGTAGTCCAATGAGTAGCGAGCAAATTCTAGACCCTTAGGACCAACCTGAAGCGAGAATGCTTTTGCAAGTTAAAAGACTTTTTATGCAATGAGCTTGTTTCTCTGTTTGTGTTCATAAGGAAAGAATCTTACCAAACTTAGGATGAACGCAATAATGTTTCCAACAAATATTGGTGCTGGCTGAGCAGGACCTCGACCTAAGAAATTATAGAAAAGTTTGAAAAATTAGAAGACTTCAGCACAATGTTAGTTGAATGCATTTCCTGAGAACTTTCTTTTCGGCATCTAGCATAGCTTGAAACTGAATGTCTTTGAGTAGAGATGATTCAAGAAACAAAAGAGTTTCGAAAAAGTTTGAAAACATACCAAACTTAGCATTATCGTCTGCCTTAACAGTTTCTGTCACAAAAGGTCGCCGATCACCCTGAAACAACAACAAAAAGATGAGTTTGTTCAAGTTATTTGTTAAATGGAGTTTAAAGTCTTAAATATAACAACAACATAAATGTTAGAAACTTTACGCTGCTGATTGTTGGAGTGATCTCCAAAAGGTTTTCTACCAAGCTGAGCATTTCTTTCCCGCGTTCATTTCTGTGGTTTATGGCATAAACAAAACTAATTTTATCCAACCTCACGGACCTATATGGTCCATGTCAAAATTAGTAGAAATATTGACCTCACTGTAATATACTGTGGATGGTCAGTCATGTTCAGACCTGAATACTTCGGAACACCCATGTAACCGATAACCAAATCCTAGATTAACAAGCTCATACATATAAGGAAATGTTTGAAATTGGCAGACTCAAAATTAAGTGAAAAGATAACTTAATTGCTAGAGAAACACTCACCGCTAATGCATTTGTGTAATCAAAGCAGCTGCAAAATAAAAAAGAAAGGGTTTGTAATTGTAGAAAAGTTTTACAAATTTCCTACAGGTAATCTATTTGAAGAGACTTATATTACCTGTAACACGATGGAGCTATGACATCTACTAAATCGTTTGCTGGTAGAGAGAAATAGGGAACCTGCTTTAGCCAAAAATATTTAGAAACGGGTTTAAGCTGCAATTGCAGAGCAACACAGTATTTTATGCGATTTCACCTCTTCAATGTGTCCATCCAAGTGTTTGAGTTGGACCTATATGAAATTGAAGAAGATTAGCATCACCAAAGAAAATGCACAGATAAGTAACGGTATTGTATTAATGCTAACCTTGTAATCTTGCATAAATTCATAATGGAGAACAGTCTCTGGCTCCTTACTAGCCGCTTTCAGAAACTTGTCTAGTCCATCTCGTGTTCCATTGTCCACTATTAATCAAAGATGCTATTATTACTTGTTGAAAACATGTATAAGCATTTCTAGACCTAGGCATATGAGACCCGGAAATAACATATACAACATGGAATGTTCAAAAGTACAACACAAGAACTAGTTGTGAAAGTTCTGGCCAAAAAAAAAAATCTAGATAGGATGAGAAAATTACCACAATTGGTGCCTAGAACATACAACTTCTCCAGATTCAGATGCTGCTCCACTGATCTCAATGCTGCAGTATAAGAAATCACTCTGCATTACAATACTATTAGAGTCACCGTATGAAGAAACTTGAATATATGTCCACAAAAAAGTATGTTGAAACCATACCTTGCACTTGGCAACCCACACCGCAAAACAGAAGACGTTTCACTCCGGAAGCCTGTTACAAGGCAAGTGCAGTTTCATTTGAAGTGGACTCAGCGATCGATAACACAAACGAGAACGAAGGGTTTGGCAAATAACCTCGATTAATTCAAGAGTATTCAGATTAGGAGACAGAGTTGGCTTGACACCTCTTGCAGCCAAAACTTCTTCAGGTGTCCTTAGCATGAAAAGAAATAAAACATCAAGAGGCTTCTAAATTCAGAGTAACACCAGAATATGGATGCACAACCAAAATGGCGACTTGTGGAAAACCTGGCTAATACTGGTCTTGGAGATAATCTGTCTTCAGGATCACTGTAATTTTTCAATAACTCAGTTACATGAGTAGATGGAAAAATCTACGGCATGGTTGATAATTGTCAGCCTAGTCCATTTCTGAAATCTAGTTTTACCTCTGCACACAAACAACAGCCTCAACCATGTTAGATTTCAGCATCTCAATGGCTATGGTTGTGACAATTCCAGTCCACTGAGCTCCTGCAACCGAAAATCAAATGAAAAGTAAACAACAAAGCTAAGCCAAATTCTCAAGTGTAGGCGGGAATTCATCCCTTTTACAGCCACATGAAACGCAAATGTTACATAGCTTTCAAGATCCAAACAAAATGGTCTGAAGCTTCTTCCACGCACATTTATACAAAAGAAACCAAAACAGATATGAACGTTGATGTACTGTAAACCAGTAACACAAAACTTTTTCATCTTGAACGAGACACAAAAAAATGTCCTAGCTTAATTCGAGCCAAGAAAAGAAGTTAGTAGAAAATGTGGAACAGTGGAAGGGAAGTGTCTATGTACCTTCGACAGGCTTCAACTTACGAGCATAGAGCTGCTCTTGATGCACCCCAAAATATGTATCTTCTAAGGAATCTGGTTTCCTTCCTCTACCATGCACAACAGGCTCCAAGCTCTGCACAAAAACTTAAAATATTAACAAAATAAAAATCTTAACCCAACAATTTAAAATGTATCAAATCTTATCCATTTATATGGACATTACCTCAATCCTTGACATTCCATCTCCAAGAAATGCACATGCCTCCTTCACATGGGCGATGTAATAGGTGTCACATAACCCGCATCGACTGCAAACCCATTAGAACACCAAGGATTTTGATAAGAACAAGACAAAAACAGGAAGGTAAACAAATAAAAAAGAAAGACAAAACCTGCAATGGTCTTTAGCTGGATAGGTTCCTCCGGGTGGGATAGGTTTGGACTTTTCTCTCCAGTCTTCTCTTAGTTTAACTTTCTTTTTTGGCTCTGTATTCATATCTGCATTGAAACCCAGATGACAAGGCTTCATGCAGGCTCCGGGGAGCTAATAAAAACACACCAGGCAAAAATCGATGCGAGATAAAACGAAATCTGTTCCTAAAGTCTTATATTTTCAAGCATAAATTGCTACAGTGAAGTGAAACGTATTAATCTAACACAAAATTCTATCTTCAGAGTTCAAACTCGATAGTGACAGCCGTGGAAGACCAGTTCAAGCCTTTGACAAACATAACCAATATGTTTTAAAAGAAATTCCGAATCTTACATAAAAATTCTATCCCTTTGACGAATTTCAGGGATCGTTTCCATTGAAATTTTGTAAAGACGGGTCTTTTAAGAAATTGAAGAATCAACGATGTGTGTGAACAGAGTGCCAAAAAGAGAAGACGTGGCAGAAAGAAATTGAGCACCTTTGGAACGCGAAGATGAAGTGTTAACGACAGAGAAGCATGGAGGAAGGAGAGAGAGCTTGGAGGTGACAGTAATCATGGTTGCTCAGCGAGAGAGACGAGAGGAGAGAGAGAGACGAGAGAAAAAAAAAAAGATATTTTGCTTTTGAACTTCTGATATCTTTTGTTCATATAGGCAAATTAATTACAGACACCTGTTAGAAAGGAACCAAACTTGAAAACCACTTTAAACCGGGTTTTGGTTCGAAAGACCAAGTTCTGTATTATCGTCTTTACTTAACCGAATTCTAATTCATAAACCGAAAACTAAACCACTCTTGCAAGCTTGCTGATGACACTGTTGTTTTTTTTTTACTCATTTGCCGAAAAACACACAGAGATTAATGTTCAAGCAAAACCAATACAAGAAGAATACTGTATGTTGAATCATTCTCTTATTACCCGATGGAAAAAAAGATATAACAAGAACATATCAATCCTCAGCGAAACATTCACTCATTCATCATCATCATATGCATTTGCGAGAAACTACAGAATCACCAGACATCAGGACGGAGTTCCCCAGTAGCCGGTGGCATCCAGCGACCAGAATTGTACACATTCTCACCAACTTTCCATCCCGGAACATCTTTCATTACATCAGCCTCATATTCCAGATACTTTTTCCACTCAGACACAAACCTTTTATCCAAAGAATGCAAAACGGGGATTGAAACAAGATTACTTTCTGAAGGTTGCTGCAAGCACAATGACTTAATTTGATAAAATATTGTTTACCTTTCATCTTCTTCTGCTTGAAGAATGGGAAGTATTGCTCTACGAGCAGCATATTTCTCTTCCTTCAATGCCCTAAACATCAAATCGATCTTGATAAGAGCATTAATCTTGATACTTACTGATAACAAATAACACTTGTACTTAAATACTTTTTATCACCACGATGTGTAATTGGAAATTTTCGATGAGAATCAAGGATGTCCAGAACAAGAAATATGAAGATGATGATCAAGCCAGATGAAAGAAGTATGTAATAATACTAACGACTATCAATCTAACTACATAGAACCAGTTCCCGATAACTACTATCAAAACATGCAACTAGATAATTGCTTTCTTCATAGCAGATTCACATCTTTGCAATTGTCGCTTTAAGGGTTTACAGATTGTTGATGAACTTATATTCGTTAAGGCTAAACTCATGCTGATTAAGCTTGAAACCAAAATGCCGTGGAATACTACTAGAACACGTAACAGTGATTCAACAAGCCATGGAAACAGCATGAAGAATGGTTAACATTAAATTCCTAATCCTAACACCAACCTAAATATTCACCATCATCTTTGATTACGATAAACTTCCTCAAGTTTCAACAATTAATAACCAAAATTTATCCTTTACTACATTACTATGATCATCAATCACTCCACAACACTAATTTTACCAAGGCGATCTCGAAAGTCAGAGGAAAAATTGAAATGTGAGCGAGCTATTATAACTTGTTCTTACCTGCGGATTTTGTTTCCCTGGCCGACCTGGTACATTCCCCAAGCAAAGGCACCAGAAACGGTAAGGAAAATGGCCATAGCACTAGGACCCGTGTTGGATATCCGGCGAGCATATCGGACCGGTGCGAACCCACCCGGTGGCGGACCATCCTGAAGCAGCGGCATATCCTTCACACTCGCCATTCCTGGCTTATTCCTAATCACCGCCTCCGTCATCTTCAACGCTCAATTTCTTCTCGACCAAATTTACTCTGATCACTGAATCCGATTTTGATTTTTGCTGAAATCGAGTGTTCTAGGGATCCCGATGAACAACAACAACAAAGAGGACGTATGAGATTAAATGGGCTTTTACTAGGCCCATCAAGAAAAGTTCAAAGACCCAAGTCCATAAATCAGCAAGTCACGTGGAGAGTCACGTGATTATCTTCTTCTTCTTACATATAAAACGCCCTAACTAGTTGTTGTTCAGAATGTTTTTAGCCGCCGACTTGGTATCATCAAATCGAGGAGATTCGATTTCGAAGAAGCATGGTGGGATTTAAGAACAGGTACATGTTAATGGAAGTTTTTCTGGATCCGGACAAAGATCTTCTCGGGGAAGGAACACCGATCATTCTTACACAATTCAATCTCTCGAAAGCAATCAAAGACAGTATCCTCGTCAATTTCGGCGAGTGTGGTCTAGGTTCGTCTCTCGGTTCCTTCCAGGTGAAATATGTGAATCCAATCACGAAGCTATGCATCGTAAGATCATCAAGAGAGGAACACAGACAAGTTTGGTCGGCAATCACGTTGGTTAAAAGCATCGGAAACTGTCCGGTGATCTTAAACTTGCTCGATATCAGCGGTTGCATCAGAGCGTGTAAAGACACAGCCTTGAAGTGCGACAAAGAGAAGTTTGAGCAGTGTAGCAAAAGCTTGTCTGAAGAGGAGATTCGGCAGATGAATAATTGTCTGGAGAAGATCAAACTATTGGAAAACTGAACTTTTGTAGACTTTTTTTCTTCGAATTTGACCCCTAAGTTTTTGAAAGTGTATAATCTTTCCCCTTTTTGTGGATTTTTCTCAATTCTGAAATACAAAGGGATGAGAAACAGCATCATTCCCTGAAACGATTGTTTGTGATTTGAATCATTGGTTTTTTTTTTTATATGTTGAAATTAAAATAAGAGGGTGTGAATTGAGGAGATTTGTTCTAAATAAGCGTATTTATGTGAAATTTGAAAACTTAAGGGCACAAGTGCAAAGTTGTTGAATTTTGAAGCTTTTAATAAATCCAAAATTTATAATCTGGAGAGAACCTATCTCTGAGGTCCAAACTCTTGGGTGGAGGAGAACTATTGAAACGGTATGGGTAAATCTAGCTCTTCAAAGTCTCTTACTTTACCGATTACGTACTCTTGTGCGATCATTTATATTGGTTTTTATCGGTGATGTAATCTTCAAAGTCTCCTTCTTTGTTTATGCATGTTAACTGTTCGATAAAATGCCTCACAGAGTTTGTATCCTAGCTCCTCAGATTTTATTCTTAACTTTAGCTTAGTTGCCTTTTGGAAAATTTGTGCTGTGTTAGTCATGCTTTTAGACCCCCATCACTAGTATTAAGTTTGTGTGGAAAAAAGAACAGGAACTATTTTTGTGTGCGTTGGCTCTAGTATCTTCATAGATAACCTAAATAGTTAGAGCTAATTATGGATTCTGTGTTAATGTGCAGGAAATGAGATCCCCTAGAACCTTGGAGGTTTGGAAACTAGGCACTGTCAACTATTTGAAATCCCTTAAACTGCAAGAGAAATTAGTTTCAGAGAGAAAAGCTCATCATATTCCAGATACCCTCCTCTCACTTCAGCATCCACCAACTTATACGCTTGGAAAACGTAGAACCGATCACAATCTACTGATCCCTGAATCTGAACTTACAAAAATTGGAGCTGAACTTCATTATACACAAAGAGGAGGAGACATCACCTTCCATGGCCCTCATCAAGCCATCTTATATCCCATCATTTCCTTACGCAGCATCGGTTTTGGTGCTAGGAACTATGTGGAGACATTGGAGAGGTCAATGATCGAATTTGCTTCGATTTATGGCGTGAAAGCTCGTGCAGGAAACAAATGTGAGACTGGGGTTTGGGTTGGGGATAGGAAGATCGGTGCTATTGGGGTTCGGATATCTTCTGGAATAACTAGTCATGGTTTGGCCTTTAATATAGATCCTGATTTGAAGTACTTTGAGCACATTGTGCCTTGTGGGATTGCTGATAAAGAAGTTACATCTTTGCGAAGAGAGACGGATACTCTGCTTCCTTCGGAAGAAGTGATTCATGAACAGTTGGTTTCTTGTTTAGCCAAAGCTTTTTCTTATGATGATGTTGTGTGGAAGGAAGATCCTTCAGTCATTTTGGACACCCAAGCTGAAGAATAATCCGGTTTTATCCGGTTCTTATCTACCAAAAATGTTATTATATTTTCACGTGCTATAGATTCAAATTTTATTGTCTTATTCATTCTCAATTTTTCATTAATTGTTATGTCTTCATCAGGATCATATGAAATTATTTCCAAGGAAAACATTTTTGCTTTTTACCAAGCCTGCAAGCACCATCAGCTTTGATAGTCCAATTACATAGATAACATACATCTTGATCTCTCAGAGCATCAAATATATCAAATTGTTTTAATTGCTTATCCCATTGAAAAGTGCAAAAGAACAATGTTGTTTTCCAAAGATTGGTTTGAAACTTAAAGTGGTATTCTTGCTTGAAAGGCACCACGTGAGATCCTAGATCGTCTTGCTTTGATTTGCAATGAACGGTAAGAGGTGGACCGCTTTTTTCTTGATTTTCAATCAAGTTTGTCATTGTGACAACCGTATCGGGCCAGAACGGTTGGACCCCATAGCCCGAACCAAATGAAAGAAAGACGAACAAGAAAACAATATAGATTTTTGGCAGATTTCTCATTTGATATTTTTTGCTTGTATTGGTATGTATGCGGCTTCTTCAGATTGTATGTTCTTGGAGTTGATTTTATAGTATTTACAATGGCTCAACATTTTCCTTATATAGTTTATAGTGATAATGCCAATAACCAGACAAACAAGCAAATCAGTAAATGAGCATTTAGTGAGACTAGATTCGGTTCTTAATGGATTGTGTGAAATTTGTCGTCCAAAGACAAGTACATTGCATTTTTCTGTGGTAATTCGTATCTTTCACTCCCTTTTTTATAAGAGGTAATGCGTTACTATTTTCAACTTTTCATGATTAATGTTTCTATTTTTTTTTTAGATTATGTTTTATCTTGTTAAAAGTATATTTTGAAGGGAAAAAGAAAAAAAAAGTGGAAAAGGATATAAGAGAAAACTTTGTAAAATTGAGAGAGGAATGTTTGTTCCTTCTCCAACAACATCTTTAAAAAAACCGATTAAGTTATACTCATAGAAAATATCTTAGTCCGAAGAGCCGAGAGGCTATTTGTTATCATCTTTAGTTAAAACTATTTGTTATCATCTTTAATTAAAATATTTGATATATTAAAAGTTTTTTTTTTTCATTGCATAATATAAAAGTTTTTACAGCAAAAACCTTGTTGGATTCATATATACTAATTACGTTTAAATATTCTCTATTTATTGATTTTATTTAATTGATTACTATTTCATTATAACTATAATTTGGGTATTATGGACGGATTTTAACTAAAAGGCGCCCAAAACTAGTAGTGTTCGAACACGTGTCTAAATCACGTGACATGATCGCGGACTGGGAATTGACCACCGTTAAGAGTTTTCTCCGGTCCACGGCAGCTCACCGAAACCGGTGGATCAATCACCGATGTTGAGGTCGTCACCATATATATCAGAGCGGAATGTGAAGCGCCGCCGTCGCAAAGGAAGTCGGAAAATCGAAAACCCTAAACATGAAAGGTTATGAAACAAAATCTATAAATTTTTCAAAGAAAATGAAATTATAAGCAGGAGTAAAATAAAACCGTCCTCTTTGTCATAGATTAGCAAATACTGTCAAGTCTGATTTGGTTGAAATTACAAAGTTGAGAAAGAAAAAAACTGGAAAATTAAAACAAGGAAGAAAGTACGAACGACGTAACATAAAACAAAACGGAATCAAAAGCAAATAAACCCAAACTGAAGCGAAGCAAACAACGAGGAGGAGGACGCAGGCGTTTCAACAGCAGAATGTTGCGGCTTCGACCAGAGCCTTGGTAACGGGATCATCAGGTTTTGTTGAAAGAGCAAAGAGAGCCATGGTCGTGAGAGCGTTAGCAGCCGCAGGATTGTTACTCGTAGATAGTGCAGCGATGAAATCTGTGGTCTGCTTGTCTTTGATCTCACCGAATTTGGGATCGTCTAGATTGTCGTCATAACAAATAGCGAAGACACCTCCAAGAGCCACCATGGCACAAGTAACCGCAATAAAAACCCAAAAAGCAGTTTTATCAAAGATCAGAGCCCAAAGACACACATAAGCAGCCACAAGACTCAGTTCATCGAAAATGCTGATTCCGGCAACGTCGAGGAGAGGTGTGTCGTCCTCCATGTAAGTCCCCGGATTGGCCATGAAAAAGAGCATCAAAATGGTGAGTAAACTCATGGTGAGGGTGCTGTTTTTGATTGACCACTTCTCGTACTGCTCGTCGGTGTAGAAACTCTTGCTCAATGATGAACATCGATCTCGTACTGCTCGTCGGTTTATAAACGCCATTGTTATGCACAGAGAAAACGAACGAAAGAGAGTAAAAAAGCAAAAGCAGAGAAGAAAACAAAACTTAAAATTTCTGAAATCGTTTTGATTACACCACCCACCCACGCATTTTGTGTGTACTATTTCGATCTCCAATAAACAATAGCCACGCCTTCCCCTCAACACATACGACAAAACGAACAATTTGGAGCTGATTTTTTTTTTTGCAGAGGTTCTTCTTCCCCCACGCGCCTGCACACTCTCCAATAAAAAGATGACACCTTTTTTTAACTATGGGCTTGGGCCTTATTATATTCACATTACTGCTAACAAAAAGCAAATCTCAATAATAACCCGAGATAACGAACAATTCTCCGGTTTTGTGTGTCTACCAAAAATACGTTTGTTTTCTTACTCTAAGCAATCCGATGTTAATAAGTATTTTTGAGAAACCAAGCTTTAAATAGTAAGAAATGCATAAATTTTCTATTTATTGGATTTGATCGTCTATATATCTTCATCATATTGTACTAGTACAAAATTAATTCCAAGGAAAACATTTCGCCTTTTTACCGAGCCTGCATGGACCATCAGGTTTTATTTCCCAGTGACACTGATCACATACATCTTGATCTCTCTGAGCATCAAATATATCAAACCGCTTGAATTGATTGGCCCATTGAAAACTGCAAAAGAACAATGTTGATTTCCAAAGATTTGGTTGAAACTTGAAGTGGTACTCTTGCCTGAAAGGCACCACGTGAGGTCCTAGATCGTCTTGCTTGGATTTGCAATGTATAGTAAGAGGTGGACCGCCAATCAAGTTTGTCATCGTGACGACCGTATCGCGCCAGAACGGTGGGACTCCCCCATGAACTGAACCAAATAAAAGAAAGAAGAACAAACAAACTATATAATTTTTTTCCATTTGATCTTTGTAGGTACGAATGTGCCTTTTTCAGATTGCTTATCCAGGTTGCTCTTGGAGTTGGTTTTATAGTATTTCCAAAAGGGTCAACAGTTTCCTAATAAAGTAATGATGCCTTTTGACTATTGAACAAAAAAATAAATGCCATTGACCAAACAAACAAGTTAAATAGTTAATCAGTAACAAGGCATTTGATCAAATATTCAAAATCAGTAAAATGAGCATTTAGTGTGGTTTTGACTGGTCCCAAAAAAAAGATTTGGATCTTAATGGATTGTGAGAAATTTATCGTCCAAAGAAATGAACAAAACAACTATTCTCTCCGTATCATAAAGAATAATTTTTTGAGGTTTAATTTTTGTATCAAAAAGATTGATTTTCTGTAAATTTTGATTCAAGAATCATTAATTGAGAATTTCAAAATTTGATGAATTATTATTGGTTAATAGCTATGAAAAATAGTTTGGTATGAATAAATAGTGCATTTATAACTAAACATTAAATATTTTTTTTTAATTGATGTGAAAACTCTACAAAATCAATCTTTTTGATACATTGGGAGTACATTGCATTTGTTCAAATTTTTCTGTGGTAATCCGTATCTTTTACCTTTTTTTAACAAGAGGTAATCCGCTACAATTTCAACTTTTTATCTTGTCAAGTAAATTTGTAGAAAGAAAAAAAAAGCAGATATAAGAGAAAGGTTTGTGAAGTTTCTCCTGTGAAAGTGTAATTGGAGAAATGCTTGTTCTTTCTTGGAGAATATCTTTAGTCCCAACATCTGTTAGCATAAAGTCTTTTAACAGTGTGGTAATAGCCACTGAAGATACCTTAGTCCGAAGCTGCGGTGAGGCTTAACAAATGAGAGACTAAATCTTCAAGACACGAAAACTGATTCAGTAAACTCTTTTGAAACTCTTCACTCTCATTTTCATCTGACCTCAATTCGCTTAAACCTTCGTTAATCCTCTTCACTCCATTCTGCAATAACTCCATTCCTCTGCAAATTCCTTCTGGAAGTTTCCTTTTCTTGTTTGGTCGTTTCTCTACTTCCATTGACCTCTGGCTTCTTCCTTCTAGAAGCTTCTGCACTGTTGCCTTAACCTTGGTGCCTTCTTTCGCAAGTAACTTGAGTTCCTCTTCTGAAGGTGTGATTGAGAGAAGCGCTTGTTCTTTCTCCAAAAACATCTTTAGTTCCGACATGAACCGCTCTGTTTTAGCTTCTTTTCCAGAAGGTATATCGAAGGCTAGAGCTGCGTCTTCAGGTACGAATCTCCATAGCTGATTACAGCTTGTACGTGCACAGAAGTATCCAAACGCAGTAACCGCATGGTGTACCAAAGCCCAGTGGCGTTTCTTGAGAAGCAAATGGTAGAGTTCCCAAACCGCACGGCTCTTTGGACACGTTTCGGTTTCAGACATCTCGTATTTGCTGAGTCCTGACAAGAAGAGAGCAAGGTTTGGCTTGGACTTACGGAGATGATTATGATGATGATCAGTTTCTGAAATGAATAGCTTTTGAAGCTCTGTTATGACATTATCCATCTCTTGGCAAGTGTATAGCTGATCGCTTCTTGAGATGATTGATAGTGTTTCGCTGAGAATCTCACTGTAACGATCCTTGGTCGTTTCATCTTTGGAGTTTCTGTACTTTTGAATGAGAGCGACGACAAAGTTCAGAGTTTTGGCATCAATCTCTGATATGCTCGTCTTTCTACACAAAAGAAAAACAACAACAGTTAATATCCGCAACACAATAATTAAATACTTACTCTTCGCTCAAACTATATTCAGTTACTAATGTCTGATTTTGCTATCTCATACAATCAAATCCCCAGAGATGTGTCAAGAATAGATATCATCATTACTTACAGTATCCGAAGGCAAGCAGAGAGTGTGAAAACTGGAGCTCCAAGCACAGTGTCTCTGGAGGAATATGATGGTTTCTCAATAAATTTCTCGATGAAGTTGAAGAAATCTGCAAATATCTGTCTCTTTGCGTCGTTTTTGATTCTGTCTGGAAGAAAATTTAGCGGAAACCCGTCTAACAGCAATGCTAGATATACACCTGGTGCAGAGTCAGATCTGCTCTCAGTGGAAATATTTTTGTAAACTTGAACTGTTAAAGATTTGGGGCTGTGGGTAAGAAGAAAGCAGATGGACTTTGTAGTTCTTCTGAGCATGGAATCTGGGCAAAGCGGTGTTTCTGATGATGGCATTGACATCATGAATGTACAAAGTTGATTAATCATATCGACCACCAAATCCTCAGTGGCATGGCGAACCCAGAAGCACCAGAGTTCCATGACTATCTGCCAACACAAGAAGTGAGGATGCAAGAGATTCTGGAGTATGAATGTTTCAAGCTCTTCCCAGGCAGGAGTTGAAGAGAGTATGATCACAAGGGTTTTGAGAGACAGAAGCAGAGCTGAATACATTGATTCCCAGATTATTATCTTCCCAG